GGAAAGAGAAATGGAGTGATCGGTTGGTATCATTGCCGGTAGAGGGCAGTAGATGTCTAGCCGCCGTTGAAAATGATGCATCGCAGTAGGGAAAAGCGCCATTCACAATTGTGCTGCCGTAGACGATGGGTGACTTTACGTATGCAGAAAAAGCAGACATGCATTACATGTACGGCCGTGCAAATGGTAACGGCAGAGCTGCGTTACGAATGTATCGCGCGGAGTATCCTGATCGACGAATGCCGGATCATAGAATTTTTCAACGGTTACATCGTCAACTTTGTGAAACAGGTGCGTTCGACGTCAACAGACATGACGCTGGTCGATTAAGAGCTGTACGCACTCCAAGGCTGGAAGAAAGCATCTTGAACATTGTGGCTGATAGACCCGAGTCAAGCACAAGAACTGTTGCGCGTGACGTAGGTGTGAGTCATCAGACTGTATGCAGAGAGTTAAACGAAAATCGCTTACACCCCTTCCATTTTCAGAAAGTACAAGCATTGAATCCGGCAGATTATCCTCTCCGCGTGAACTTCTGCCTGTGGGTGATGCAGCAATGTGCGTTGCAGCCGGATTTCGTAGGTGATGTGCTATTTACAGATGAAGCGACATTTTCACGCGAGGGTGTCTTTAATGCGCACAATTCCCATGTGTGGGCAACCGATAATCCACATGCAACGCGTCCACATGCGTTTCAACAACGTTTCTGTATTAATGTGTGGGCTGGTATTGTGAACGACTTTTTGATTGGCCCATACTTACTACCCACGCGACTCAGTGGCGGAAGCTATCTTATTTTTCTGAAAGAAGTGTTACCACAACTGCTGCATGATGTTCCGATCGCCATTCGTAACCGCATGTGGTTTCAGCACGATGGGGCGCCAGCACACTTCAGCATTGATGTACGGAATTACCTGAATGCCACGTTTGGTGCTCGATGGATTGGGCGTGGTGGACCAATCCCTTGGCCACCCCGATCTCCCGATTTATCGAGCCTCGATTACTTTTTATGGGGACATCTAAAGCATCTTGTTTATGAGACTCCAGTTGACTCAGATGAGGATCTCGTCGCTCGCATATCTGTAGCTGCTGCAGGTGTGCGTGAAATACCAGGCATCTTTGAACGTGTACGCCAATCGCTCCACCGACGCTGTCAAGCATGTATCGCTTCTGGTGGACGCAATTTTGAACACTTACTGTAAACATGACACTTGTCAACAACGCTTTCAATAAAATCTTTGTTTTTCCTTTCGGCCGTTATTTCTCCAGTTTACGCCTCACCACGTCACTTGCGACTATACATTCCTATACAATAAATCATTGTTACAATGTCCTGTACCTACCATTAAAGTTTGTACCATGAATTCGGGACCACCCTGTATAAAGCTTTAGATTTATAGTTATGTAAAGACTTACAGCTTGTGCAAAAAAAAGAGGCTAGCGCCATTATATTTAATACACCGATATTAAGGCATATTTAACATTATTTCTCGTATCAAAACTATATAGACCCTAATATGCATTTTATTCATCCATATAAATGTTTTTAAAGCGAAAAAATTTTAATATAGCGAAATTAACTTTTCCAGCACTAGAAATTTAAAGTAGATTTTAATTTCAGATTTAAGTCTCTCTCGTTTAAACGTATCTGAACTATTTTAAAACTAAAGACTTAAACTACAGTGTAGTAATTCCAGCACGGGGGGTTTAGGATGCAAATTTTTCGGTAGCGATTAATACCTACGACTATATAGGGAGTACATTTTTAAATAAAGATATGCATTGCTGCTCAGGGTTTAAGGAATAGAAATTTAGGATTAAATCGATGATCGTTTAGAGGTAAATAGCATTAATTTTCTAGTGTTTTGTATTACTATTAGAACAAGTAGTTCAGAGGGGGCAAATTGCATGAAAAGTGAAAGCTTTATTAAGTCTGCTTAAAGATTATTAAAACTCCTTGTTAACTGAACATTTAGTTTTTTATGGATTTATATTTCAATGCATATTCCTTAGGACATTAAACGGATAGGAAAACTTTGATAACTCTAAATTTGACATCCGTATTGACGCAAGCACTCGTCACATTGGACTTTTTCCGAAGGTAATGGATAAATTTTAAATAGTCATGAGTATTCTAGCATTTTTTTAATAAGTCATTTTTTAATAGTCTTCTTTTTTTTAACAGGGAAAAAAGACACAACTCACGAAAGTTGTCTACTCAAATAGTCGTACAGAAAGGTAAACAAATCTTCTAAAAGTCTGCTGTACACCCATAATATTCCAGGAAAACTAACTTTCGTTTATTTTGAGGTAAGGAAGTTTAACTTTATCAAAACCCATAACTTCAAATTTTACGAGTTTCGTCATAATATTCAAACTTGCTCTATCTGAATGTGCCTGGTTGTACAGTATTTCGTTTAAAGTTTTAATGTGTGGAATACAATATGAAAGATGCATCTTCACTGTAGTTGTCATAGGCCATTAAGGGACTGGGGTACGATTGTTTTCTAGTGGTGGAGTGCGATTATTTTCCATGACCCATAATTAGACTTCTGCCACACCCATTCGTCACACCAGTTTATAGAAGGACCCGTTCATATATCCTTTCATTCATCCAGATCGTAATTTTGACCTTAACCAGAGAACGATCAATCTCCAATTCAGTACTCAAAGAGGTATAATTTGTTATGGGAACAAGGAGAACCTCGTGACCCGACAGATTTAACGTGCACTAGTTACCATTTACTACACGAGAAGTCTTCGGACGGTTAGATTCGAACTCACGTTCACACGAACGAGAGTCCAGCACCCCACCAACCAGACTATCCCGGCCCACGCATCGTCACTTAATGTAAATTATATAACGAAGCGAATGTAAGAGGAGCTTGCACTGAAATGGCTAACAGTAACCTCATTTATATTATCTTACACGATATCTCGGTTAAGCATGCTACAATGTATTATGAACAAGGTGCAAAATCGCATGGAATAACTTCTCATCCAATGATTGGATTTCCCCCCACAGAGACTCAATTTTAATAATTCAAGGGCTGAACATTAAATATGTTAATTAGTTAGAGCAGACGTTATTTTAAGTTACGAAATCTGCTCAAAAACATACTTTCTCTGAATAAATATTCATCCTTCTAGACTGATTTGGATTCTTTAATCTTAAATATGAAAGGTAGCAGTAATCTAGAAAATATGGTCAGACTATAGTTAAGGCAAAGGAGCAGTTGAAAGTTTCAGTCCAGTAAGGCTAATTTCTTTTCGTATTTTTAATCTCCACAATTAATGAAGCTCATCTAAACATCTTTAGACGCAAAAAAATTTATGCAAAGTTAATTCCATGTGTTAAAAATTTATGACCGAAACTAGTGAATTTCACGGTAATGCAAATATTTTTTTACCAATTTAATGCGTATAAATCTTATATTACTAATCCAAATAAATAGAACGATTCTTCAAAAATGTTTAAAAAAATAATTAGGAATTTATTTGAGATGTTGAAATACGTGAAGTATGTTAAATTACCAAACTTCCGACTACTCTTCAGAAAACGTTGACAGATTAGTACAATCTTTGATCTGGTATTAAAGTTCCTTCATAAATACATTTTTAAACTCTACTCTTCAATTTTTAGTAGAAGCTATCAATGATTAATATTCACCCCTCCAAAAAAAAAAAAAAAAAAAAAAAAAAAAAAAAAAAAAAAANAAAAAAAAAAAAAAAAAAAAATTCTAAGCTGTATGAAAAAATAGTGTCCTGGCATCGCAACAGGTAGAACTTAATTCTTTGTATACCTCAGGTGTAATCTTTAATAAATTGGGATCATCCAGAAAATTTTATTCTTATTTCAAACTGATAAATATTACTAAACTAAACTCAGTGGCACGACAGCCCGTAGAGGGCCAAGGCCTACTGTACCCATCTTGTTTTTCTTGGGCTCAGGGGTGCAGGAGCAGATGTTCCTGTCAGGTGGTCAACCGAACGCGGAACCCCCAGTGTTTAGTTCTCAAGCATGCTTGGTACTAATTTATCGACTCACTGAAGGGATGAAAGGCTGAGTCAACCTTGCCCGGGCCGAGGATCGAGCCAGGGACCTGTGACACGACAGCGCGAAGCGCTACTGCTCAACCCCCGGGAGTCAAATGCTCTATAAAAAATGTAAAATGCGGTGATCGTCACATTCTTCCTACTTCATCAAGAAAATGTAATTTGTCTATGTAAATTTAAAAACCTTTAAAAATTTAGAAAACCCAATAAAATTCTGAGATTAGAATAATGAGCAAAGTCTTACAAAATTCTTACCATCAGTTTTTTTTTTTTTTTTACCGTTGACTTCTTAAACATAGTACGAGTCTTCTCATGGCACCACTAGGACATAGTGGTAAAATAGCGGTAGGTTTGATTTGTTCATTTACGTCGCACTAGAATTGCACAATGGGCTATTGGCGACGGTGATCCGAAGACATGCCATCACAATTTTGATCCTCCGCAGAGGGAATGGCACCCCCGATTCGGTAGCCCGACGACCTTTACGGTAGTACTTTACGGTAGAACAGTTTAGCGAGGACCAATACCGCACACCCTCGGTCCGTACGCAGACTGATCCAAGTGGTCACCCACCCGCTCACTGACCACAGCCAGTGATGCTTGATTTCGGTGATCTGCTGAGAACCGTGTCTTAACGATCAGTCCACTGCGGGACAAAATAGCGGTAGGAATAACACGAAAAATAGCCAGAAATTTGAAACACTAAATTTTTTTCCTCTTGAAAGATTTCTGAAATTGGTGGCTTAGAAGCCAAACATTTCTACTTATTAGATTTACTAATTTAATAAACCAGTATTTCTTTTTATTTACAGGTAAAGATTCAATTTAAAGGAAACAAAATTTAGGAACTCAAGGAAACTGCAATATCAAGAAACCAATTGCTACTAATTTTTAGAGCAATGGACTTAAAATATTGAGAGCTAGGAAAATCGTTAGGATACAGCTTGGATCGGAATGATTGTTGAACGGATAAGACTCTCCCCCCCCCCCTCCTCCGAGAAAAGCCTATGAAGATAAACATTGTAAGTCGTTGGAGAGGAGTGTCAATTACGAAAAGATAATTCATACATTTAAAGAAAGGATTACTTATCGCTATTTATATATAACTCAATACGCATAATTTGTGTTACATTCTGTATTTGTGTTACTTTTGAAAGGTTCATTATTATATCGATATTATAGTATATCTGTTTTTGACATTGTGTTCTTTTCACGTTGTTAAGCTTTATACATGATTCAGAAATTAGAAAATAATTTTGAAGACTAGTATATACAAAAATATTATTCATTAAGAATTTTGAAATCGCATGTCTGTCTTAAATGTAAATATAATAGACACTTCGTTGCTTTGAAACTAAACCGTAGTAACTCGAAAAATGAGATATTTAGGTCATTTTGTTTTTAAACGAAATTCACCCTTTTAGAGAAACAACCTGTTATCTTCATAGTTCCATAAAATTAATTTAAAGAGCAGATAAATTGTTATCGCATTGGCGCGATTCGCATTAGCATGGAATGTTAGAAATCGCTCTCCTGAAAAACTTGCTTTTTTGAGTCACCACGGTTTAGTTTCAAAGCGACTGCTTGTATAATTGTTCTGGCAGAAATTGTTGTTCTTTAAAATTGTTTAAAATCTAATTCAATTTTAATGAGAAAAAAAAATTAAAGATTTGAAGTATTTGTGTACGTGGTTTTATTAGGGTAATGAGTGTTTATCATATGCCTTAAAGGTAACATTTATCAACAAGTTTAAAGTTTGTGTTAATAGAAAAAACCTATTACACTAATTTTTTTTTTTTTTTTTTATCAGATTTGTAGAATCATTATGTCTGAAAAGTACTATTAAGAATGACTGAAGTTTTCAAAATTTAAGAAACCTGATCACGTAATGTGTATAATTGAGAGCTTCTTATTGAAAAGTTGCGTAAATTAAAGTGATTAACTTTGATAAGAGCTTTTACCATGCGTAAGCTCTAAGAGTTTGTCATTGCAAAGTTCTGTTTTTTTTTGTTAAAAAATTTGAGATTTTAAAATGTCGCAATCTAAGCTTTTATATACAATGCTAAGTTTGCACTGATAAAGTATAAAAATTAATGTTGAAGTAATATTTATTTTCATTCTATATAAGCATTGTTTAAACTTAGTAAGTATAATAAATTTTGTTTGGTATGATTTTTTTAAATTCTGATTTCCAGCACAAACTTTACATCGAGGAAAGTTTCAAGACTTCTAAAAGTTGAAGGAGCAAAAAATTAATTACATAAAATCTTCGAATTTTTCTTTCAGTATAAAATTAGTAACTAGTCTTTCATCTAAAGGTGCATGGCATAACATCTTGAAGGCATTTGGATAAAAGTGTCAATTCAAAAAAAAAAAGAAAAAGAAGTCTGCAATTAGTATCATGAATTCATAATCCTACGAAAAATTCTTTGTGGGTACAAAGCGTTAAGACAACAGCTACTTTGAAAAAAATAAGTGCTTCCACATTAACAATATTTATATAGTCATTTTTTTTTTAGCTGCAACAGGGCATGCTTTACAATACTAAGCATCAAAAATTACGTGACTGAACAAACTGAAGCCTTCAATTCTGATTTTTCTTTAGTGAAAAATTCGCACAATTACATTCACAAAACATTAGATATTGTATAATTGCGTTCCTCTGCAAGAAAAAAAGATCACATTTCAGTTAAGTTTTTAAATTAATTCAAATAACTTTTCACAGCTGCCGACTTGATATCAAATTTCTTTAAATGGTTTTATTCTTTGCAGTTTCTATACGCAATAAATAATAAATAAAATTTCATTAAAGTATAAACAATTTTGAGAATTTAAACACAGATAGTATGTTGTAGATGGTAATTTTCTAAAGTCTTGACAACAGGAATATATTAGCATATTAGAAATATAGAACTAAAATAAAAACCTTATGGAGCTATTTTATTTCGCATCGCTGAAAGAATAAACTCAATAATAAGAGTTTTGAATTAATTATTTTTAGCCGCGTTTAAAGTGTATGAAATTAGAAACTAAACTTCCAATTAAGGCACGTGTTTCAGTAGATGTTCTTTTTATATCGAGAAATCGAAGTATTTATAGTTTAAGTGAAACTTTTTCTGCACAGTGGATTTCTAAGTTATGTTAATAAAACTAACCTAATACGAATGAATCATCGCGTATTTTTAGTTACAAAAAATATATATTTATACCTAAGATAGTCTTTAAGACAGACTCGCATATCAAAAATTTTATGAAGAAACTTTCTCTGATTATATATATAAATTTGTATTTTAACATTAATTATACGACAGCATTTAACTTAAAAATTCTTAAATGCAATTTTCGTTCAACTAAAATTTTCAGAAAACATAAAACAAGTCTAATATCAGCTAAATTAGGATTACAAGGGGGAAAATGTTTGGCGAATTTACTACATTTGAATAGTAAAGACTTTTTTTTTTCCTTTTGCACTTTGTACATAGAGGTTTTAGAGCTTAGTATATAGATATATATGTGTGTGTGTTTTTCTTCGTTTTTTCTTTTTGTATTTTTTGTGCTATATATATATTTATATGTATATATATATGCATATATATATATGTATATGTATATAAATATAAATGTTAAATAATTGTCTAATTCAACAGTATTATTTACAACACGACGAATAGAAATAAAAACGCGAAATCTATAATTTAAAAAGAGAAGATGTGAATACGGAGAAAAAAATCAAAAATGGAATTATATACCGAGTATAAACAAAAAATAACAAATTTGATGAATGGTAAAATTTTATTTTTGACTTTTTTTAGCTATTGAACCAACAAGAAAAAAACAAGGTAAGTCACCCCTACGAGGCCCCTCAAACGATAGACTGGAAGAGTTTTAGGGTTGCCAAAAACCCGTTCTTACGATTGGGGTAGAAAAATAGCACTTATTCTCGCGAATATAAAATAAAGGCGTTACTTCTTCTAAGCTTTCTTATTTCACCTGGATTCTTACCTGGTTTCCTTTTTAATTTTATTTATCGTTGCCAAAATTTTACCTTGAAGCAGGCGGCGCCACTATCGCTGTGCCTGCATTCTCGATTCCGTCTAGCGGAACTGCTGGAATGGTTCGATAACAATTTAGTCTAGTAACAAAAGTGCTATTTTTGTGATTGCGAGATATTTGTGTTTCATTTTCTGAAAATATTAATTATGGCGACGACTTCGCCGACTCTTAAAGACACTCTTGTTTATTTGAAAAAGAAATTGGAACGAACTACAGATGATGAATCAGTAAGTAAATAAATAACTTATAATAATTGTATTCTCTAACGCTGTCTGCACTGACACAAAAACATATGTGTGAAAGAGAACATGACACGTAAACGACATTTATTTTGATCTGTGCTTTTTTCTGCATTTTTTCCCTCTAATAATTGAAAAAAAAATAATGTTTTTCATTTTTTAAATTGTATAAATATCTGATGATAAAATTTTAAAAGTATTTAAAATTGTATTAATGTCTGACGATCAAATTTTAAATGTTTTTAAAATTGTATTAATATCTGACGATTAAATTTTAAATGTTATGCTTAATACTCATCTTCTTTCGTATATTTATATCTTAGTACTACTGTACTTTCTAAATGAAAAAAAAAAAATGATGTTCCTTATGTATCTGCAGTACCATGTATAGATTAGATTTTGAATTTTTTTAAGTTTACTAATCTTTTTATACATATTTATAATTTCTTTTTCAAGTTAAAAAATAATAAAAAAAAGAAAGTGTTCTGAAAATTTTTATTATAAAACATTTTGTAACCTAGTTTTTAAAATGCTTTATTTGATGAAAAATTTTTACATACATATACACAGTACAAGAACCTAAACAAATTATAGAAGTTATTGAATTAAAATGCATTTCGGCTCAAGTGATTTGTAATTTAAATAGAATAATGGTTGTAAAATAAAACAATTTTGTTTATTGTTCTTATCTTCTATGTCATATATTTCAACATTTAAGAAATTCAATAATTTCCAGTCAATTGCATCGAATTAAATTTACTGAATTTATTTTTCAGAGAGAAATTTGTATTTAGTTGTTATAAAAATATTTTTTTACCAACACGAATTATAATAGGCGTTTCTGTTATGTAATAAGATGTATTTTAAGTTGATCTCGTCAGTTCGTATACTTCCTTTCTTTATAAAGTATTACACAAATTGAGTGATTATTCTTACTACCATTACATTTTAAAATAACTGATTGTCAAGGTAATTCGATTCGCAAATTATGCATAATTTTATTTTCTGTCTGACATTCAATTTGGATATATTTCTAAATTTGTATTTTGATATTATAAATTGCACTACATAGATACAAAAATTGTTTATCGAGCAATTATTTCAGCTGGTAAGCGAAGTACAATTATCTTATAACGTCAAAAGATTAAAAAAAAAAAAAAAAAATGAATAAACAATGATAAGGAAAGACGGAGAATCGTTTGGACGTCACTTCCGGAAGTTAATGGCTGACTTGACGGTTGAGAGTTGCAGAGAAAAAAAAATACCGCTACGACGTATTTTACTTAGAAGCCCAGTTAAAAGAAAATGTTTTATTTTTAGCTTCAAATTTGGATTTACCAGCTAAGAGTGAATCAGGGTTTAAATAATTCCGTGATGTCTTAGTCTAATGAAAGAAAGAAGACAATTTGATTACCTTAAAATAATTTCACAAATATCATCTGGTATTAGATTTTGATTTGTCAGTTGCCCTGATTATTAGCGTTTTGTTCAAATATTCCTGCTTTTTGTGTGTTCAAAACATCCCATTTTCTAAGACTACAAATGCTGGTTTTAATCTAATCTATTCAAGAGTCTAGATTTATGAAACTCCATTTTTACAAAAGAATTTTTTTTAAAGAAAGATCAATAAATAACTGATTACACCAGCTTATTTTACGCAACTAGAAAGATGACGAAATAAATAAAAATATATGTAAAAATTACATGTTGGTGCAGACTGTTTTTATGTCGCAATGTTCTATAGCATATTTTATTAAGAACATATTTTAATAATTTTTCTACTAATTCCCTAATTTCCTTTGAAACCAAAACATGCCTAATTTGTTTAATATAGTTCTCACAGAAGCAAAATTATTTAATTATTAAATGCTAAGACCAAGTGATCACCCATAAATTACATCTGTTATTCATTATTTTTGACCTTCTCCCCTTTGTCACATTTCACCATACCCCTATCCTCTTTGTCCCATGTCATACTATATTATATAAATATTTAAAAGCAGTTAAGAAACAAAGTAAACAATATTTTGAGTTTTTATTTTTTTTAATAACATTTGTAGGTATAATACTAGTAATGATTAGATGTGTACTGATTTTGGATGAAAATATATAAAACAATAATATAAAAATATTTAATCTGTTGATTTTGAATATTTTTCTTTTTACCACAATCTGGGATTTCACAATTGTTATCCCTTAGGGGCACAAATTATCACAATTTCACAAACATCTTTCCTTCCCTCTTCCCTCACAAAAGGGAGTCTGTCCCCATTCACAACAAGAAGTGGTTATGCGATAATAATGGATGTGATATCTCCCATTTTGGTTCAAATAAAATTTAATATCAACAGATAAATTTTTTATATAGTTCCTTTTTTACATACATTAATTTTCTCCAATTTCTGTTAATTTTTAAATGATAAAAACGTTGTTTTCTTTGGATTGCATTTACAATTTATTTTATATCGTAAAAATTTATGCCGATTAACGTTTAACCCTTTTGCTCCCACTGGGACATATGTGTTCCGTCTAAAATTCCAGGTTGGGCACATAAGTTCCAGCCCCTCCCCCAAATAGCTAATTTGTTATTTTGGCAGAATGTTATTTTTACCTTATTTGATCTTTTAAAGTTGTAATTTGCCTTTTTATTGGAAAAGGTAAAAAAGGCCTTGAAAGGGCTAAATTAGTCTTGTTAAAAGTTTAAAATTAAAAATTAGATTTATAAATTATTATATTACCAATATTAATTTGCAATCTCTCAAGTGCATATTTTTTATATTACTGTATATTAGGGGTTTCCAACTTACAGGAGGCCGGGGGCCGCAATTAAAAACACAAATCAAATGGCGGGCCGCAACTTTACTAAAATTTTATATAATTTCGTCCAAAATGATTCGTTTCGAAAAGTTAAATCGGAGAATTTGAGAAAATTTCTGATACACACATGCTAAATTATATTCACAATATACAAAAAAAAAAATAAAAAAAGAGCAACATACACGATTATTTTTGTATTTTAATAAATATTTTCTTGGATACAAAACATGAGAAATAATTTTTTTTTTTTTTTGCACCGTTGGTATGTTAAATTTCACAGAAACACAGAGATTTAAGTTTTTTTAACGAAAGAAAAGTACTTTGAACCCATATAGATTTTTTAAAAAGAATTTTCCCCAAAAAATGACAACTATTTTATTTTAGTTCGCGGTCCGCCAGTTGGAAACCCCTGCGGTATATTAAGACAGTTCTAACACCCAGAAATCTCAACAAAAGAAAATTGCCCCAAAAAACGGGGGAAAAAATGTCTCCAAAAACCCGAAAAAGTAGCGAAAAGAGTTCTAAAATGTAGGGGGGGGGGATCTAAATCTGAGCCTTTGTAATAATGTTTAATTTTTGCCATTTAGTTTGTAAAAATTTATCATTTTGAGCTAACCAATAAAGTTGTTTAGGAGAAATTTGTGTCCTTTGCGAAAAAATTATTTGTATTATTGCATAAATTATTTTTAAAAAATTATGCTCGTCACAAAATTTATGATAATAATGTCTCTAAAATTTTTTTTCCATTTTAAAAATTGCTTTCAGCTTTCACCAAATTTTTGGGCTTAATGTGGATGAGCTATTATCCATTTCTAAAACTTATTGGTTCCGAGTTGAAATTTGAAAATATTAAAATATAAGTTATTCTAGTGAAAATGCTGATCGTATGCAATGCAAGTTTTGCGATTTGTAGATTATGATTTTAAGAATCGTAAAACATACTGCAAAAGATGAGGGTAACTAATATGTTCATTGTCAGTGGAAATACCTTTTTCAAAATATTACCAAGGAATTTATTAACAGTTGAAATAAATTATACAACATTTAAAATTCTCTGTTAATAATCAAGCACTTTTAACTGAGCAAGACTCTTTTTCACTTACTGATTCTACGCAACTTAATTTGAAATTCGTTTGCTTGCGCATCTAAAGTTTTTTTAAAAATGAATTTTTCAAACGGTGATATCATGCTGACTTCATTTAACAGAAAGCTAGGTTTTATTTTCAGGTGGCCTAATAATTTTGCTTACATCAATTCTCTAAATCTTCAAATTTTTACAGTTTTCTTTATCGCAATTTTAAAACAGTACTGAAAAGTGTTTGTAACTGAAATTCTCTGCAATATTTCCAATACTATTTGGTATTCCCCCCTCCCCTTTTTTTTAATCATCTTTTAGAACTTTCTCCAAATTCTCCCATGTTTTTTAGAATTTTTCAAATGCGTCATGTAAATTATTTCCACCTTAAGAAATCTAATCTTATCAGGTACAAAAATTTTTCTACTGGGGATAAACACAATTGTGTAGGCGCCCCATAAATTAATGCAGTTCCAGTATTTGGTATTGGATTCCTTTTGTAATTGCCGTGTCAAAAAGAAACCATTTGGTGTGAATAATTTGTCACACTTTTTCCCCTTCCTATTTTGTCCCTTTTATATTCGAAATCAAAATGAAATAAGCCAGCAGCTGACGTTTCGCAGAGTGGAGAATTCGTTGCAAACACACGCGGTAGTTAACGTTTTAAAGTATACGTTTCGCGGAAAGCTCGATTTTTTCAAGCTTTTTTTTCTCAATCATCAATGTGATTTTTCAATTATTTTTTTTAATTTTCAAAAGGTGTTACATTTTCTTTTAGTTTCCAAATTTCACTACCTCCTTAAGTTAGACTTACAACGGACATTGAGAGTTTTAAGAGCTCCCTCCCCCCAGATTGTTAAAGCATGAACAAAGTTATTGCAAAGTTAGTTATTAAGCTTTAACTCTTGATTCTAAATCTATGCATTTATTCAGGAAATCTGATCACAAGATTTACCAACAACTATGAAACTAGACCGCAAACCTCCAACAAAGTTAAACACGTGTTAGAATGTTATTACTATTGCATATAAATAATGAAGGGTTACTTAAAACAATATTTGAATATCTAAAACTCATGTGTCTTTCCCATCCGGTG